AATCCTCGGCACCACATACAAAGATGTTGTGTCTGCCGAAAACTGAGAAAAATAAATATTAAAATTTTTTTAAAAAAGAATTAATATAATTCAAAACAAAACAGAACTGTGTTAAAGTCAGGAAGCCCGGTCTGAGAGCGCAACTCTACAGACCAGTGGGAGTGCTTATCTAGCATGCTCAAGGCTCTGTTTCCATCCCTAGCACCACAAAATGAACAAATGAATAAAAAAATTAAGAGCACCTTTGGGAGATAATTTATTTTATTGGTCATCACAAGGAATCAGCTTTTCTAAGTTTCCTTTTTCTTAAGTTCTCGGTTTGTTTACTTTTGTCTTAATTATTTTCTTTTTCCTTTTAATGTACTGCTCTTCCTAATTTTGCAAAATCAATAGTTTAATTCTAGTATCTCTTTTTAATACCTAAAGCATTTGTTTATAATTTTTTCTGAATACAACCTTCTGAGTTAGAAGTAAGGCATGCTTCTTTTCAGCTTTATTTAACCCTTTGCCAAAGAGGAAAAATATCAGAGGCTCTGGAAGAAAAACTTTTTGTGCAACTGTTAAGGGGTTCTCCAAAGGACCATGAGTTGAAAGCTTGGTTCTCTGGCTGGTGGCACTAATGAGAGGTAGTGGAAACTTCAGGAGTTGGGGTCTAGTTGGAGGAAGGAGGTCATTGGGGCTGTGCCCCTGCAAGGAATATTGGGATTCTAGCTCCTCTTCCTCTCTCTCTCTCCTCCTGGCTACCTTGAGGTGAGAAGTTTCCTCCACCAACACTTCTGCCAGGATGTACCCTGCTGCCACAGACCCAAAGACAGGGCCAAGTGACCATAGACTGAAACCTCTGCAATCAATTTCCTACTTCTATGTGGTTTATCTCAGGTATTCTGTCACAGAGACGGAAAGATAACACAAACTAGTTTGAGGACTCAAAGGATGATGTTTTCAAGGCAGTATGGGCAGGAAGGGCATGTGAAAGTGACAGCGGCAGGCAGTTCTGGGATATTTCAGAAATGTTCTGATGTCATGCGGTCATGCAAAGCTTGAGGGGGTCAGGGAGAAAACTCAGTGGACAGTTGTCCCATGTTTGGCCATGTCACCTGCAATGCCAGCAGAGTAGGCACGCAGCACAGGTGCTGAATAAATGAAAGATGACCTTCTCAGTTTGCACCCATATGGTAAAGGCTACTTTCCCAAATAAATCAAGCAAAAGGAAAATGACAGGGACTTGGGCTGAATTTGATGTCTCTAAAGCAGCAAAGAAAGGAAGGACTAGCGAAGAACACGGGCCCTGAAGCAGGCCAGGATGAATGCCAGCTCCGTCAGAAGAAGCCATTTTCGAGATTCCTAACCTGCTTCCTCATTAGTAACATGGGGGTAATCACAGGGCTGTGAGGACCATGTGAGATGATCCACATACAATTGTGAGCACAGTGTGTGACCATGGAGGAGCAGGTGGTCATCTGCAGCGAGTGCACCCCGCTAAGAGCACAAGCTGCTCTGGGCTTCTTGGTGCTCTGGCTGGGATCCAAGGCCCGACCGTCACCTGGGTAAAACCGACCTGCTTTCTCCTTCCTCTACACCATCCATCACAGCAGCAGTCTAACCAGAACATTCTGAGGAGGACACGA